AAAAGTCTCGTCATTCGAGGCAGAATCAAATTCTGTATTAGATGAGTTCATTTTTGTGGACGGGACATATTTGTATGGAAACCTATGCACAATTTTTTTTCTTGGGTACTGGCTTTGTCGTGTTAGCTTCACGTCGATATTAAAAGCCAAAGATAATCAAGCGTTTCCGATTATAATAATTGTACATGATTATAATTGATTTTAAATGGGAAAAATCGATTAAAGGTGTATGCTTTAAATCGATTCTTAATCAACTATCGAGTCAATTATAATCTGATTTTTTCCTATTTTTTTTACATGGATAGGATGCATAGCGGTCTTTGGTTGCGTCGCCTGTAGTTAAGTTGCATTTCACAGTACTGAAGCGCAAATTCTAATTAGATACTATGAGGAGAGATGGAAGAGATGATACAAAAATATTTTAAAATTAACAAAAGAGAAATTTTTGGCACTTTTTTCGAGAATTTAACTCGTTCCTTCCATTATCAACTACGCAGTAGTAGACAAAGTCTAATCGTATGTCATACAAATGAGCTACAATCAACCTACAATAATAATAACTTTATTAGAGAAGACTATATGATAGTTATATCAACTGAAAGAAGATCTTATTAGCGTGGACATAAGGTTTGTCGAGAGATACTGTTATTGATAATCATAATATTGTCAAGCTCTACGATATCGAATTTGAAAGAATAATTTTATGAAATTAAGTCATCGACTGACTACAATCCAGGCTCATCATTCCGATGACTGGATCCGTTCAAATCTCAGTCGGTTTTGGTATAATTTCGGTCGATTCCAGTCGAATTCAGCAGGTTTCCATCGGATTCGGCAAATTCTTTGCTGCCGGATTCCGGTCGGAAGTTTAAAGGAAATTACTGAAAGCTTCGTTTGAACTTCCGGTCGGAACCGACCGAGTAACAATGGCCTGGGTATATGTTCTTCTCAAATCAATATGTCGTAAAGGAAACACGTTTCAACTAAGATATTTCTGATGTTGAAAATGTACTGCGAAATAAAAATAAGTAGCCATCATACAAGTAATTAACGATCGCTAGTCTTAACTTTATTTTCGTACAGATTTTACCGACGTTACTTCTAATTGTGATTGATGTCAAAATTACCAATATGAAGGTGTTCATGTATTAGCAAAGAAATGACAATCAGAACTCAATGAGTTTTTATATAGCTAATTTATATTTGTGTCGAAAGACGAGATCAAACAGAGGTGGACTCGATACTGTAGCGAACTGTACCAGGACCACGGAGGTGGAGATGGGGTGGTACGAGAACTTGCAGAGATCACACCCTTCACCGATGACGAAGAGTCTCACGACATCCTGTACTCGGAGGTACAGTCAGCGATAAGCTCGCTAAAAAAAGAATAAAAGCCCAGGGTCGGACGGAATCACTGCAGAGATGCTACAAGCTGGAGGGGAACAGCTGGCGCGACAGATACATACGCTCTGTAACAAAGCATGGCGAGAAGGCACCATCCCAGAAGAGTGGGGCAAGTCTCTTCTAGTACCGATACCAAAGAAAGGAGATCTAAGTAACTGCTCGAACTACCGAACGATCTCTCCTATCAATCACACGGGAAAGGTACTTTTGACGGTGCTACTAAACAGACTAAAAGGTCACCTCGATCCGTACCTATCGGAAGAACAAGCTGGTTTCCGAAAGGACAGCAGTACTGTACATCAGATCTTGACACTGCGGCTCATAGCCGAAAAGGCTAAACGACAGGGGGAAAAAAGTATACAACTGTTTCATTGACTTTCAAAAAGCATTCGATACGATCAAGCATAACATCATCTGGGCTACGTTGAAGTCCTACGGGGTGGGACCGAGAATGGTCACCCTGCTAAGTCAGATCTATGAGAAAGCACAGTCAGCTGTTCGCATTGGTAAAGAATGCGGTGATTGGTTCCATACGAATGTGGGAACGAGACAAGGCGACCGGCTGTCACCACTCCTCTTCATCGCATACCTCGACCGAGTCATGGATCAGGTGAAACAGAACACCTGCGGAGTCCGAATCGGTGGAATGATGATAAACAACTTGAGGTTCGCTGACGATATTGATCTCATGGAGGAGGACCTCGGCTCACTCAAAAGGCAAATCGAACTGACAAAGGAAAGTGCCGAACAGGCAGGACTGTTGCTAAATACGAACAAAACTAAAGTCATCGTGTTCGGCGACAGGAAACCGGATAATAGCATCCAGCTGGCAGGTGAAACAATCGAAAACGTTGAAAAATTCGAATATCTCGGTAGCCTACTGACGTGGGACAACAACTGCTCGAAAGAGATTAAAAGGAGAATAGGAAAAGCGGCAGGAGCAATGGCCTCGCTGAAGCACGTTTGGGGCAGCAAGAAGATGAGTCTCGACAACAAACGCAGAGTATTNGAAACGAAGACATCAGGAGAAGAATATCGAAAGAAGAAACTATCGTAGACATCATTCGAAGAAGGAAATTAGGACTGTTCGGGCACATATGCAGAATGGGAGATAACAGGCTGATCAAACACGTTCTATTTTCACAAATGGACGGAAAATCTCGAAGAGGACGGCCGTGCAGAGAGTGGCTCGATGACATAACGGAATGGTGTCAACGTAGTGGACATGACTTGTTCCACCTTGCGCAAGATAGACGGGCATGGAAAAATCTGATCCCGTAAATGGTTGGACCCAACGGGCGCCAAGCCTATGGGATATCATGATGATGATGATGAATTTATATTTGTATGAAAAACGGAGATATAACCAGGAATACAAGTCTCATCGGACACTTTCTTCAAATCTGGAACGAAATTTAATCTGAAATGTCTATAATGAGTACTTATTTCAATAGAAATTAGATCCTCAAATACAAATCATTGTGGCTCGGTCGACCAAGTTCCCTTTCCGATGATTTCCTGGCCGTTTCCTCGAACTTTAAGTCGGAAACAGTCAAGAACTGGCGGAATATTTTCTGTAAACTTCCGACGGGGAACCTCTGGCAATGAGTTTACCGAAGCTGGCTCAGATTTCTACAGATCCAGCCGCCGGAACAATCGACCTGAGAAAGCTCAAATGGCATTTAGCTAATGACTAAAAACATTACTGAATAAACATCACTTTATAAATGCCATCACTTAGTTTTCGAATTCTTGTGGTGGTGCGCTGTAAAATATTTTAGAGAAACATCTGTAATTGTACTGAAAAGAGCTGATGCTCATTACTTACAAGTAACGCGGCCTAGTAGCCGCTAAACCCTCTACTGAAAGGATAGTATGAGAGCGCTAATATTCGTCCAAAGAGAGAAAAAAGTTATTTCAGTTGAACGATCTGATCACTTGATAATTTGTAAGAATGTTTTACGTAGACCAATTTCGCTTCCTGAAACCTTCTGAAATTAACGCCTAATCGTTTGTCGGCTTCTCTCCGGTCGACCATTCACGGCGAGCCGTTGGTACCTAATAAGTGTTTAAAGATATTTTCATATTAAGAAGTACCTCGTTCTTGTTGAGCCCGTCTGTAGCAAAATTACCGAAGTTCTTCACAACTTCGTGACCTACAGTATATGTTTTATCGTCATTTCAGTTGAATAAATTGGTGATCTACATAGTTTTTTCTCGAAAAGACGTTATATATATATATACCTTCGAAAAATTATGGACACTATGCGATACTCTTATAAATCTCACTTTGAAACTAATTTCAAAAGACATCTAGTCGTTCGTCGGCCTCCCATTGGTCAGCCACTCACGGCTAGCCGCCCCCATACGTACTGATTTTAACATCTTAACTTCATTCAGACGAAGACGTGTTCCAAAAATAAGATCATTTCGGAAAATCAATTCATAACCGAAAACTTAGAAACTTTACATTGGCATATGATTCTCTGGAAAAGATTTCAATCCTCTCTTCACCACGAGGGACCTTAAATAGCTGACAGCTATGTTCGTGCAGAGCAACGATTAAGATGTGTCCAAGAAATCTTAAAACTTCATGAAAATTACAACATTTGTTCTTTAAAATATTATTGTGCAAATCGACGACTGGTCGGCCACTCGCGGCTAGCCGTTAGATGTACATTTTCTTCAATTCTTTCTAGAAAAGTCACCATCATTGTGCTACTGTGACTCTCGAAGACAACACTTGACAAACGAAACATTATTTTGAGTAACTGGCATCAGATGATATGCGCATAGTATAGCTGTTTATAAAAGTGTGCGATCTCATTAATATGCTGATAACTATGGAGATCCAGCAATCGGACGTAAGTCAGCTACTAGATTTTGATCTACATATTGCGGCTTAGAACACTATCGTCTAAAAAAATTGATCCTTTTTCGCAAAAAAAACGAGTCAGAAAGCGTTTACGAAAACACGAATCTCGAATTCGTGATCCTCGACCCCGATTACCCTTCGGTCAGCCCTTACTACTACTATCAACTATCGTTAGGTAATATTTGAAGACGAAATCAACGAACGAACAAACGAACAGAAGGACGAACATCAACTCGTTTTTTCGGTGATACCAGCTCGACGCATAACCTACCTTTCAGTGGAGAGAATCATTTATGCAATTTTAAAAGTAACAGTCTAGAATGTCCTTTATTTTTTCGTCCGTCCATGTATATTTGCATGGGAGGATAAAAAGAAAGACGACATTTCGTCCCAGCACATTTCCAGAAGGATATTCTAGGATGTCTTCTTTTTAAATGCTCACATATGGGTGAGGGTGTGATGAGTTCGAAGTGATAAACAATCAAGAAGTTCAAATGCTTTCTTGAAAATACATCAAGGAAAGTTACAAGTGTGGTAAAATTCTTGCTTCGCTCATCTTGTAAATTTTCTGCAAATTTCATTTAGAACTTCGAATTCATCATGAAAACTTGGAACTAGTTTTTTACCTTAGTTGGTATCTATTTTTTCTAGAAAATATTTTGAAACTAACATAATAATGTAGTCTTTACCATATGTAGCAAACAATACTCGATGTAGTCAATTACATACCGGCAATTAGTGCTGCTGTTGATGTTGACGACGAGGTTGATGTTGACGTTGATGTTGAAGATGAGGTTGATGATGACGTTGATGTTGAGGTTGAAGATGAGGTTGATGATGACGTTGATGTTGAGGTTGAAGATGAGGTTGATGATGACGGTGAGGTTGATGTTGACGTTGATGTTGAGGTTGAAGATGAGGTTGATGATGACGGTGAGGTTGATGTTGACGTTGATGTTGATGTTGACGATGACGAGGAGATTGAGATGGGTGACGACGATGAAGGTGATGGAGATGATGTTGTCATAAGCTCTATTTTGTGAAAATTCAATCAATCGGATGAGAGAAATCAAATGGTAAGGAATGTCTAAAACTTGTTTACTCTATCTGCATAAGATGTGCTTAACTCCTACTCAGTTATAGTAATGTCAGAGATATTTGTCAAACTATTCTCCTTCTGTGTATACTAAGTTTACACGAATTGTGAGTATAAACTATTTCTGTGTGTTATGATATTTTGCATCTCGAAAAGATGACATGGATAGCAGATAGCGGGTTGATATATTTCCTTTGCTCACAATCTCATCTTCATCTTCGTCTCAGTTCATGCATGGTGTTAGCAGATTCACTTGTTCTCATGTTTCCCAGTGTTGAGAACGCTGAAAGCTACACATGGAAACAGGCAGGATTATTTAGAGCCCTCATAAGGTGAAGATCAAACTTAATACAAGTAAAGCTCGTCGTTAGACTCGCTCAGCTCTTTCTCGTAGAAATATTGATTTCAGATGTTATAGTTTTAATGCATTATTGTGTATATCAACAACAGCTACGTTACTTCAGAGTTCGTTTATGAAGATCAATAATTAACTATTAGGTCACCAGAGATTGACAAGAATATATCATTTACCATACGTATACACTTGACTATACCCGATATCATATGATTATACATGTATTTTCCGAGAATGAGTGCCCTTTATTTCAGATTTTTTTTAATTCTAAAAAAACTAACATCAGAATCGAGTTCTTCGACCCAAAAGCCCATCGATCAAATTTTTAAAAACATTTTCTCGTAAAAAAGTAGTCCCTTGTCTGAAAAGAATTTTTTATAAAAAAATTCGAAGAACTAACATCAGATTAGAAGTTTCTGCATCGATGTACCTTTGAAAATGTGTTTTCCAGAAAAAAAAAATCGATTTTCGATGTTTTTTTGACCCTGCGGACATGCAAGCAAGCAGACAATTAATGTTTACTGAACTCTTCTCTCCGAGAAAGAGAGCAGAACTTCTGACTCATAAATTTTGTCATATATTGAATAGATGCTTACCAGGTGGTATCCGTGTGCCAGGAATAACCATCATAGTAACGGTATCTGCAGTTGCTTCTAAACTGCTGTTTTGATTTATATCACTATTAAACAATTGACAATA